AAGGGATATAAACCATTCTACCTTAAAGACGCATGCAGGCATATGTTCATCGCAGCACTATTCACAATAGCAAAGACATGGATTCAACCTAGATGCCCATCAATGATAGACTATATATACACTATGGAACACCACAGAGTCATAAAAAAGAATGCAATCAATGTCCTTTGCAGCAACATGGATAGAGCTGGAGGCCATCATCCTAAGTGAATTAACACAGGAACAGAAAACCAAATAATGAATGTTCTCACTTATAAGTGGGAGCTAAACACTGAGTATACATGGACACATAGAAGGGAACAACAGACATCTGGGGCCTACTTAAGGGTGGAGGATGGGAGGAGGGTGAGGATTGAAAAACTACCTATTGAGTACTCTGCTTGTTACTTGTGTAACAAAATGGCCAGTACACCAAACTCCCATGACATGCAGTTCACCCAAGTAGTAATAAACCTTCACATGTACCCCTTGAACATAAAATGAAAGGTAGGAAGAAATAAATAAAATAAAAGAGATTGTCAGAGTAGATTAAAAAATCTGACACAACTATACGTAGTCTACAAGAAACCCATTCTAAATATAAAGATGCACCTAGATTAAAATTAAATGGATGGTGAAAGATATACCATACTAATACTTATCAAAAACACCCCCAGAATATCTCCATTAATTTCAGGCAGAGCAGACTTGAAAAGCAATAAAAGTTACCACAGATAAAGAGGGATATTACATAAGAAAAAGGAGTCAATTCTCCAAGAAGACATAACAATCCTGAATGTGTGTATGCACCTAGCAACAGAGCATAAAAATATGTGAGGGAAGAACTGACAGAACTGCAGAGAGTAACAGATGAATCCACTACTAAAGCTGAAGACTTCAACACTCATTGATGAGAAATCAGCAGACCAAGCAGGCAGAAAATCAGTAAGAACATAGTCAAACTCAACAACATCATCAATCAACTGGATATAATGAACATCTACAGACTACTTCATCCAATAACAGAAAATTACACATTCTTCTCAAGCTGGCATGGAACATTCACCAAGATACCACATTTTGGGCCATGAAACACACCTTAACAAATTTAAAGAAATATATGTCATATACTGTGTGCTCTCAGACCACAGCAGAATTAAACTACAAACCAATAAAATAAAGACAGCTGGAAACCATCAAATTACCTGGTGATTGAACAATACTCTTTTAAGTAATATCTGGGTCAAAGAGGAAATCTAGGGAAATTAAACAAGATTTTGAACTAACGAAAGTGAAAAGACAACTAATCAAAAATGTGTGGGATGTAACAAAAGCAGTGATTAGAGAGAAATTTATAACATTGAATGAATTAAAGTGATTACTAGATTCTATATTAGAAAAGAAGAAATGTCAAAGATCAGTAATCTAGACTTCCACCTTAGGAAAATAGAAAAAAGAGCAAGTTAAATCCAAAGTAAACAGAGGAAAGTAAACAATAAAAACTAAAACATCTCAATGAAATTGAAAACAGGAAATCAGTAGAGAAAATCAGCAAAATCAAAACCTGTTTATTTGAAGGTAGGTGAAACTCATAAGCCTCCAGCCAGGCTAAGAAAAAAAGGAGACACAAATTACTAATATGAAAAATGAAAGGGGTGACATCACTAATGTCCTTTTATGGATAATGAAAGGATCATAAAGGAATATTATGAAAAACTTGATGCCCACAAATCTGATAACCTAGGTGAAATGAAACAATTCCTTGAAATACACATTCTGTCAAAACTCATTCAAGAAGAAATACACAATCTGTGCTGGGAGATGGTGGCTCATGCATGTAATCCCAGCACTTTGGGAGGCTGAGGTGGGAGGATCTCTTGAAGCCAGGAGTTTGAGACCAGCCTGGGCAACATAGTGAGACCCTGTCTCTACAAAATAGAAAATGTGATGGGTATGGTGGTGCGTGCCTGTTGTCCCAGATACTTGGGAGCTGGAGGTGGGAGGATTGCTTGAGCATAGGATGTCAAGGGTGCAGTGAGGAGTGATTGCACCACTGCACTCCAGCTTGGGCAACAGAATGAGAGCCTGTCTCAAGAAAAAAAACAGACAATCTGAACAGGTTTATCTGTGTTAAAGAAACCAAATCAATAACTAATAACCTTTCAAAACAGAAAGCACCAGGCCCAGATACGTTCACTGGCGAATTCTACCAAACATTCAAGGAAGAAATTATGTCACTATTCTATAGTCTCTTCCAGAAAATAGCAGAGAGAATACTTCCTAACTCATCCTAAGACGACAGTATTACCCTAGTACCAAAATCACACAAAGCCATTATAAGAAAAGAAAAGTATGGGACCAATATCTCTCATGAACATAGATGCAAAATTCCTCAACAAAATACTAGCAAGTACAATCTAACAACGTAAACAAAGAATTATACACCAAGACCAAGAGGGATTTATCCTAGGTATGCAAAGCTGGTTTAATATTCAAACTTATTTAGATATACAAATTATCACACCAACAGGCTAAAGAAGAAAAATCACATGATTATATTAATAGATGCAGAAATCACTTTTGACAAAATACAACACCCATGATAAAAAAAAATCTCAGTAAACTAGTACTAGAGGGGAACTTCCTTGACTTGATAAAGAATATCTGCAAAAATCCTACAGCTAACATTGTACTTAACAGTGAGAAACAGCTTTCCTGCTAAGATCAGGAACAAAGCAAGGATGTCTCCTCTCACCACTCTTATTCAACACTGTGCGGGAGTCTTAGCTAATGTGATAACACAAGAAAGGGAAACAAAAGGTATACAGATTGGAAAGGAGGAAAAAATATACTCTCTGTTTGCAGATGACATGTTTGTCTATATAGACAATCTGAAAAGAATAAACAAAAAAATTCTAGGCTGGGCGTAGTGGTTCACACCTGTAATCCTAGCACTTTGGGAGGCCAAGGTGGGTGGATCACTTGAGCCAAGGAGTTCGGAGACCAGCCTGGGCAACATGACAAAACCCTGTCTCTACCAAAAATACAAAAATTAGCCAGGCATGGTGGTGCATGCCTGTAATCCCAGCTACTTGGGAGGCTGAGGTGGAAGAATCGCATGAGCCTGGGAGGTGGAGTTTGCAGTGAGCCTAGATTGCACCACTTCACTCTGGCCTAGGTTACAGAGCGAGGCTCTGTCTCAAAAAAAAAAAAAAAAAAA